AACGGTCCACAATTTTAGTCTTTTTGAATTTCCGAGGTGCATTCGACTCGGCTGGCCTGTCTGTTCCCCTTAACATGATTGCCCATCAAGGAGTGCCTCGGAAGTTTGTAAACCTACTTAGTTCTTTGTGTCCTCAGACTTGCCGGCCTGTGAGAGTATGTGGTGAGCTCCCCGAAAAAAATCGTTCAGCTGTAGCACATTTTCAGTGCCTAACTGCCATGCCACCCAAAGGAAGCACGAGGACTGGGTTACTGCCAGGTTACCTAAGCCTAGACAGGGGAAGTTGGGAGGCAGGGGTCGGGTTCGAACCTTCCCGTCAGTAAATTCGCCCCCTAAACACCGAACCATCTCGCTCAGCTCCGCAAAAGCCTCCCTACATAGAGTCATGTTCGTCAGGACCACCTACTCTCCCCATTTCTACTTTTGTGCTTGATAGGACAGTGGAGGTCATCAAAACCCCGGTGTTTACATAACCCGTGATGAAAGCCTTGTTGATCTGGGTCGTTTTCGAAGAGGCGGAGGCGAAGGCGCAGGTGTTTTCGGATGAACAGACCGAACTATGCACAAAGTGTGAGGTCATGTCTATGGACATGCAGTCACTAAACATGCCACTTACAATCCAGGGGGAGACACTTGAAGTTGATAATGATCAGGATCACGATGACGATCATAATGCTGGTGATGATGTGCCAATCTCCCTCACATACTCCAAGTTCCATTTTCCTGTCGAGCCCCAATTTCTGTTGGCCCGAATATTTCTGGGGAATTCCCATCCTGCTGCTTTGGCCAGTTTCGTCTCAACGCTGGTATTTGTGTTTAAGGCAAACACCTTACTGTTGTACTTTACTCGTAACTTTGTTAAGCTTTCCAATTTCTGCCCGAATATTTCTGGGGAATTCCCATCCTGCTGCTTTGGCCAGTTTCGTCTCAACACTGGTATTTGTGTTTAAGGCAAACAAACAACTGTTGTACTTTACTCGTAACTTTGTTAAGCTTTGTGTCCTGGATTATTTGGCTACAGAGTATACATTGTTGTATATATATATATATATATATATATATATATATATATACACACACACAATACACTCTCTCTCCCCCACAA